AAAACTGGGGCAGTTATAGTCCTATCCACTCACATTCCTTTAGTGCTCTAAGAGGAAGTGCTGAAAGTCTGGGAAGATACATGTTCTTCACAGCCAGTGGTGCCCTTTCTTCTTATAAATATTCCATTCTGAGCCCAGCATTGCCTTCAGCTGAGTGGTAGGCAGCAGGAGTCCAGGATCTTGCAGATCAGCTTCTCAGGAGAGGAGAAATCAGTGCTGTGAAATCCGGGTAAATTCCAAGTGTAATTTTTTTATTTACCTGTACATCAGCCCCTCAGAATCTCAGCTCAGCACCAATGCTTGGTTCCCAGAGGGCCATGCTGCCTCGGGAATTAACTCTCAGAGTTCAAGGCACACAAAAATCTCTTCTGACGCTCACGCAGCTCCCTCTTCACAAGACACTGGCTCTCCCCAGAACCTCGCCTCACCAAAATCTAGCTACAACACAGCATGTCTTCCCAAGGTAGACTATAAAAGTGCCACCTGGTGCTCCCTGCAATAAGCTTATCCACTTCAGACAGTCTATAGAGCAGGACCCTGGGGAGGACAAGTGGTCTGTATCCTGCCTCTTTCTCTTCAGAAGGTCAGGATTCTGGGACCTTCGCCCAGCAGGCTCTGCCACCCAAGCCAAGAATGCTGCGGGCTGGGGCTACTGGAATGATATGTGGCCACTCACACTCAGATACCAGAGTGAAGCCAGACACCACAGACCGTATGTTTGGCGCTGAGAGGAGGCAATAGCACTCCAGCTTGGGACTTATGGACTCAGTAAACAGAAGGACTGTCTCAGCGAGTGCTTTTCAGTACATGTCCACCCTTCTCCAGCAGAGGGCATATGCTGGAGCTGAGTCAGCACTACATCACAGTCGGTACGTCTTCACTACCCGCCGTATCGGCAGGTAGCAATCGATTTATCCGGGATCGATATATCGCATCTCGTTAAGACGCGATATATCGATCCCCGAACATGCTCACCGTCGACTCCGGAACTCCACCAGAGCGAGCGGCGGTAGCGCAGTCAACGGGGGAGCCGCGGCCGTCGATCCCGCGCTGTGTGGACCCCAGGTAATTTGATCCAAGATACTTCGACTTCAGCTACGCTATTTGCGTAGCTGAAATTGCGTATCTTGGATCGACACCCCCCCACACACACAGTGTAGACCAGCCCTCCCACACTCAATCCATGTAACTACAGGGGAGTCGCATCTTACGCGGGGGTTAGGTTCTGAAGTCAGCGCGTAAGGCGAAAATCGCGTATCGTCAAACGCTCATTGAGTGGAATGGCGGGCAGAATCGCCCACACTACAGGTACAATATTTAAATTGTTATTTTTCTCTTTTTTTGTTTTGTTTTGCTGAGCGCGTATAGTTAAAATCGCATAAGTTAAATGCGCCTATGATGCGACTCCACTGTACACCGAAATCACAGCTTACCACAGCTGGACAAGATTCCATTAGCGCTCTGCAAGGAGTGTTGTCTAGTGCTCACATGTCACTGCCCTCCCCACGCACTCCCCTGGGACATTCAGCAGAGGTCTGGGGCCCAGGGAATGCAGTTCCTTGATGCCACCCAAGCCCACCACTTCTATTCCTCTAGTGGCGGTGGCTAGCACTAGCCGTGTCTGTACAAAAGAAATCCTGGTCCTCCAGCCAGCATCTGCACAGCAGTGCTCAGCTTGCTGGAAAGAGCACCATGAATCCAGCCAAAAGCTTTATGCTCCACCAGGGACCCTCCTTCACATCCCAGCAAGCGCTGTTCCAAGGATAATTAAGCACTAAATTAATGTTACCGGTAAGTGTACAAGGTTATAAAGATCTCCAAGGCAGCTATAAAAGCAGAGCTAGCAAGGACAATTGGAAGCCCTTTATAACCCAGCTGCAAGCTAATCACCTGCACGACCCGAGACAGGCCCATAAAGTATTTTACTGAGAAGTCGAACTTCTCCTGCAAGCTCAGCTTCCAGGAAACGGAGCCTGGGACCCACCTGGGTCCCGCTGCATACAATTGGAGCGGCTCTGCCTGGGGCCAGCACTGGGCAGAGATTTCAAGCACCCCTTTTACCAATGAAGCAGCTGGGGTAGCTCAATCATGGAGCAGGAACACAAAAGGCATAAAATGACCCAGGATGAGTAGCCAACCCAGGATGCCTGGCTACTCCCAAACCAAATTCACTCCGTTCCCCTTGCTTTCCTCTTTAAAATGAAGCGTGAACATCCCTGATCCCCCCAGAGTCTGACTATCTAGGCACTAATGAGAGGGGGAGGGGAGCTGACCACATACACAGAGCAGGGGAACATGACTGGTGTCCAGGAGAAGGGGAGCAAGATTCCTCAGAGAAAACAGGAGGAAGGTGGAAGAGCAAAGCCACATGAACGTTCCCCTCCGCCCTCCCAGAGCCACAGTTGAGCCCTGCTCCCTCTTCAGGGACGGTAGGGGACAGCAGGGCAGCCAGCACCGTCTGCACCCCAAAGCAGCCTGACGCATCACTCTAGGCTGACGTACGCCACACAAATTGCACCCCCAAGCCTCAGTTTGCTCAGGAGTAGTGTCCCCCAGCAGCAGCCGGATGGGTGGACTGTGTGTTTTGAAGGGGAAAGGGGACCGGAAGGGGTGCCAGCAGGACTGTAGGGCTGGGTGAATTTCAGCGAGAGGGCTGAGGGGCGCCGATCGAGTCTCAGGGCAGTAAAGGGCTGAGCCACAGCACAACCACTGGCTGGGCAAGAGAGACCTGGGTGGAGCAGAGGATCTGGTTGGACTGTTGCCTATCTCCCCTTCAGATGGGGTCCCTAGTCCCTGGGGAAGGTTAGTGCTGCCCCGTGGTCTGAGGTCTGGAGGAAGGTGCGGCTGTTACAGCTCTGCCGACCAAGGAACCCTGCGTCCCCCAGATGGCTCTAACCCTCCCAGCACTGCTGTCTCCTTTGCCAGGCCTCCTTTGGCTAAGGGCTCTGGACGGTGGCCACTTTCCTTAGGTCCCTCAGGCTCACAATATCACAGTCATGGTCCGTGCTCCATGTGTCCTGGGCCTGGCCTGTGCCCATCATGCTGCAGTACAAAGAGCTGCTCTGCCAGGGGCTGTCTTGCAGCCAGTCAGTCTCACCCAGGTGGGTGGAGGGGGTGGCGCATGTGTAACCCGCTCGCCCACTCACCGTAGCACTCTTATCCCCTCTAGCCAGGGCTGGGCTCATACACAGGTTACGCCTGCTGCAGCCTAGGCTGACAACTGGGATTTGGCTCAAGTAGAAGGTCATGCTTTAAGATCCAGCATCCACACCACAGGTGTGATCCCCACTGCAAACAACCTGCCCAGGGTACAGGCATTGCAAGTGGTGGCCTGTATGGGGAACTAGCCTGCAACCTTGGCATTATCAGCTGCCAGTCTCCTTGAGCAAGCCCTGACTGTGCTCCCTTGGCAGCCCCAGCTGTGACAATTCTTATTTATCGAGCCAGCAGAGCAAGACACTGTCAGAGGGAAGTGGCTAAGTTGAACAATGCTCTTACAACGCAGAACCTCCTGTACAATAAACAGTGTTTAATAAACTGGGGCTGTTTATATTTATGATCTGTTTTCGCAGCTCCCTCCTCCTCCTTGCTCTGTCATCAAGTGGAGGGAACAGCACTGAACAATCAGCCATCAACAATGCAGTGGTGCCACTGACAGCCTGCGGGAATCAAACTGTCAGCATATTAGCTGAACGGAACTACCCAGGAACTTCACCAGGACATGAGTTACACTGAAAAACGGTAGGCTCCTGGTTGGAAGGATTACTGTAATTACAGGAATATTCGTGGCCCAGGAATTACCGGGATTTGCTCAGGGAAGTTACTTATTAGGATGTTAGTGGAACTTAACGGTAATCTTACAGCCCCAAGGCTCCCAGTGTGCTCTGTGGGGAACACACCAACTCTTTAACAGCTCACAGCTGCACAACAGTGTAAGAAAAAACGTGAAAAACACCTTACCCTATTGAAACATACCAGGTGATTTAGGTTGGTGGAATGTAACTGCCTGAGTTGAGGTCTATGCAAGATGTTGGGACTTCACTAAAATGATCTTTAATGATCTCAAGCAGTCAGGACCTCTATTTCCATTTCAGCTGGGACTGCGTCTCTGGCAGCATAGTGCCCCCTGGTGCCATGCTGGGCACTAGCTCTATGCTGACTCAGAGAGAAGAGTGCCACCTACCAAACCATGCACATCACATCCCCTCCCTCCCAAGGGTCCTTTGGAGGTCTGTCATACAAGCAGCTGGCAGGACTGCAGAGAGCGTGGAGACTAGGAGCCAGATTCTGGCCCCATATGCTGCTCCAGCAGCATATAGGGGCAAGGGAGAACTCCCAGCATAAACAGCCCCACACTGCCCCGCTCCTCAGCCCCCAGTGTTGGTGGCATGCCAGGGGTAGGAGGGAACACGGGGATTTGGGGCTGCTGAGCAGTGCAGGGGAGGCTGCCATAAGACCAACCCTTTGGGCTGCTCCAGGTTACGGTGCAGGTTGCTTCTGTCCCTGCAGCAGCCCAGAATGCAGGCGATGTGAAGCCACCTTTGCCCCCCTGCTCCTCCCAGGCTGCACATTCCAAGCAGGGCGTCTCCCACAGCCCAGAGCCTGCCCCTCTATGGACGCAGGCGTCCAGCTGGTGGAATGATTTGCCATGGACTCCTTTTGACTCAGCCCAAGATCCCCCTGCAGTGCAGCACATCAGAGAGACTCACATCAGCCAGCGAGGGCCAGATTCCTGCAGCACGGCATGGAGGCCAGGCAGAGGCTAAGAGGCCAAAGGAAAGGCCGGGAGACTGCTGCCTAGGCAAGCTCCGGGCCCCTTGACAGGCTGGGCTGGCATCTAGGGGGAAGATTTCGCTTAGTCCTCATTTTCCAGGACCACCTTCACCCTTCTCTAGGTTTTATCTGGGAGGCCAAAGCTCCAGCCTGAGGATCCGAGTTCTGGATGCCCAGGGCCTTTGGGCAGTAGGCCCATCCCTGCCATAATGCCCTGCTTGGCTCACCAGTGATGGTAACGGAGGCGTGGGTCTCCTGCTGCAGCACGGGGTTCCGCACCAGGCAGGAGTAGGTGCTGTTGGGCTCCAGCACCACACGGAGGATGCTCTGCACATCAAAGAGCCCTTCCTCATTGGCCACCTGGGAGGTGGTGACGTTCTCCGTGATGTTGTTGCCCTGGCCATCCTGCCAGAGCACCGTAGCCGCAGGGTAGCCGCGGAAGGTGTGGCAGGTCACCATCACCAGGTCCCCTGGCTTCAGATTCTTGCTGGGCTCCAGGTTCAAGTTGGGCTTAGAATACAAAGCTGAAAAGGAAAGGAGAGGCGGTATGATGCAATGGAAGATAGCCAGCTGGCCAGAGGGGGGCGCTGATGACTAATGCAAGGTCATTTCCCCTTCCTCCCCCATGGGCTTCTCACCCTACAGTCATCACACCACTGGGACCCAAGCCACCATTCCCAACCCACCCCTTCCCTGCGCCTCAGAAATACAGCAAAGGGCATGCTGGGACAACTTTCCCACAATGCTCTGTTGGGAGGTCATGGAGAAGATGACCCAGGGAGTTGGAGATGGGGGAGGGAGCTGCAGATGCCCCAGATAGCTTAACAGCCCACCAGGCAAAACGATGAGCTATGCAGAAACACCCCACAAAGTGCAGCCCTTCTGCACCCTCTCGCCGGACATCGGTCGGGCTCATGGCATCTAACCCCCCCACCCAATATACGTGACACCTATTCATTCTAATGGGACCTGGGGGCTGAGAACGTACCCCCTTTCCCCTCCCCATAGGGGGGTTTCCGTGGACAGCAAACAGCATCTAGCACATCAGAGGCCAGGGCCAGCCAAGGGGGACTAGCAGGCTGGGGCCATCCATTTTGCATGCTCCAAGGGGGGAGGGATAGCTCAGTGGTTTGAGCATTGGCCTACTAAACCCAGGGTTGTGAGCTCAATCCTTGAGGGGGCCACTTAGGGATCTGGGGCAAAATCAGTACTTGATCCTACTAGTGAAGGCAGGGGGCTGGACTCGATGGCCTTTCAGGGTCCCTTCCAGCTCTATGAGATAGGTAGATCTCCATATATTCTAACCATGAGGGCTAACTGCACTGAGCCAGCTGCAGGATTTTGATGCAGTTGTTCAGCTAAGCCCCACAATGGATTCCTGGGGCTAGCAGCTGGCATTCCCCAGGGGAAGGAGGGAACACAGGCTATCCAGGTAATTTAAATCCTTCCCGTCCCCATAGCATCTAAGAGGGGATCCCCGGGGCAGGGGAGTATAGCGGGAGGGGGTAGAGATGGGCCCAAATTGCAAAAGTGGGGGGTGGCTGGGAGCCCCACGTCTATCCCTTCCCAGAGCTGGGGAGGTTGGATTTGGGGTTCAAGCTCAGCCCTTATTGAGAGAGAGAGAATCACAAAACCCAGCTCAGGACCCAGAACCCTCCCAGATCCCACCCACCCATGGCTGGGCTCTGGGCCAGGCAAGAGGGAAAAGAGACAGGAACTGCAGAGGAAAACAGGGCAAGGGATGGAGGGAGACTATGGGGAGCAGGACAGCAGGTGCTGTGGGAGGGAATAGGGTGAGGGGATGAGACACTAGATTGCGGGGGAAACCTGGGGTAAGCCCCAGGTGAGCATGGCTCTGCCAGGGGACATGAGGGGCTGGGCCCTGCCCAGGTGTCTCTCCACAGCCAGCCCCTCCTCCCGTCTCTCACCGGCCACCTGCAGCGTCACCGCCGCGCTGCTGTAGCTATGGACCCGGACAAAGCAGGTGAAGCTGCCCTCATCGGAGATCTGCACCCGCCGCAGCAGCAACGAGACATTGCCCCGGGGCAGCTCCTCGTAGAAGAGGGCCGTGCGGTTGACATAGCCGCTGCCCTGGTCAGCCAGCTGGTCCTGCCCGCTGGCAAAGCTGTGCACCAACCGCTTGGTGTCCGTCAGCTGCCAGATGAGGCTGAGCTCGGTGAGGCTGAAGCTGGCATCAGGCAAGAAAGAGCAGTGGAGGACGGCGTCCCGACCAAAGAGGGCGATCACAGGGTCATCGGGGACCCGGATATCCACTGAGCCTGGCGGGAGAGGAGAAAAAGGCACATGACAGTGAGACATTTCTAAAAACACTGCCATGGCACAACCCCTCCCAGCCCACAGCACCATGCAAACCAGGGCTAGAGGCAAAGGGCCCCTGGACAACGAGGGGGTAACCTCAGCCCAGCTTTCCCTTCCCCTAGACTGGGAGGGGGCCTCTGGGGCGGTCAGGCTTTACCCCCCAGGGCCAAAGCACTGAGGTGCCTTTCCGTTTCCTTCTCTGCACATGGAGTCAACAGGCACTCCCCACACCAGGGTTTTGCAGGATAGTGCTGCATATACAGACACAACCATTATGGCCACCTCTGGGGAGGAACATAGCAGCTGCCTGGCAGCAGAACATAGCAGTTTAGGGCAGAAAGCAAAGGAGTACTCTGAACCCAGCTGGCACTGCTGTAGGGATTTGAGGAAGGCAAACTGTACAGTTAGAATTTGGCCAGGACACTACGGGTTAACAACCCTTCTTCTTCTGATCCTTAATGATCACAGTGGTCAGGATGTGAGCTCTCACCCAACAGCACAACATCCCCTACTGCTGGCCAGTGCTGGCTCTCAGGGAAGAATGCCCCCTACTGATTCACCAGCACTCTGTCCTGCAGCACTCTGTTTTGCTTGCAGGTCTCCCATCCCAGAAATGACCCAGCCAACCCTGCTTAGCTTGTGGGAGCTCACAGGAATACAGTTCACAGCGGTGTGATTGCAGAGAAAGCCCCATTAAATCACAGCATCCATACCAAGTCCCTTTGGGTTAGGGCATGACAGAGCTGAGCCAACACAGTCTGCCGCAGCAGGAGCCACTCTCAGCCTGCATCACAGAATAGGCGCTATCCCCCACATCTGCAGCACTGCTGCCCTCAGCTGGCCACCACCACTAACTGAACCCTCTTCCAATGGCAGAGACCCAAGGATGGCGCCACCCGAGGGGAATCGCAGGGTACAGAGCAGCTACCCAAGCCTAGAAGGGACCCTCTGCTCAGCTCAGCTCTGTATTGGTGCAGGGTATTCATGGCTGTAACTTCTGCCTGGGCAATGTGCCTGTAAGTCAACCCACAGCCTTCCTGCCAGTTCTGCGATATTGCTAGCAGCACGCCCTACAGCAAACAACCATCCTCTGTCAAAATCCTCTTCCTTCTAGGTCTCTCATCGCAACAGTGCGCAGCCATCCTGAAAGAGTAACTCAGCATCATTAACGAGGGCAGCGGTCTCCTTTTATACCCATGGCTCTTGTCTTGGCTGTAACGGGAAGGTGCTCGCAGGGAAAGAGTCTGCAGAGATTTTACCCTTGGCTGCATCTCTGCTGTCAGAGGAATCTGGAGAGCAAGCTGATGTTAGCACGCTATACCGGATGTTATACCGACAAAGATTCAAACCAATCGCTGAAGTGACAATAGAGGTATCGGCCCCAAAACATTATTATTGATATTCCACCAGTCCCCAGTGGCTCCAGCTGAGATCAGGGCCCCATTGTGCTAGGCGCTGTACAATCACATAGCGAGACAGTCCCTGCCCCAAAGGGCTTACAAGCTAAAGAAACAAGAGACAAAGGGTGGGAGGGGAAACTGAGACACAGAGCAGGGCTATGACTTGTCCATGGTCACCCAGCAGGTCAATGGCAGAGCTGAGAGGAGAGTGCTTATCTCCCAAGTGCCAGCACAGTCCTTAGGCACCAGCTGTCTTTGGGCATTTAGGGGAACATTCTCAATGACCCATGTTCTCTCACTGAAGGGTGCATGAACGTGCATGTGTACACACGCACGGATGCTCGCTCTATGCTTTGCCCTAAAGCAGTACCCTGATTCTGGAGGAACACACATTGTTCTTTTCAACTCCATTACCACCGTTCCAGAACCAACGTGACATTTCCTGTCTGTTCCCTGTGGATCTCTTTCCCCTCCCAAGATCTCATTCAAACAACAGACGATGACACAGCCCTGTGTGTGTGTCCCCACAGGAAGGAGTCGTTCTGAATCTGGATCTAATGGCCCTGGCCATACTGCCTCAGGATGAATCCAATTTTGTACATTTCATCGCTCTGCCAGTTTCCCGTCTTGTGGGGTTTGAGTTAGATGCCCATCTACTTCAACCAGCTCCACAGGTGCAACCATTCCCTGCCTCTGCAATTCTCCCAGCTGCCTTTCTCTGGCCTCCTGCCCAGCACAGGGGCAGGGTGAGCCTGCACAAATGGCACTTACCCACCGCACACAGCTCTGCCAGCACAGCTTTTACCAATATCCCCGTTTCAAATATGGATTGACAGAAAACAGGGAGATCGGGAGAAAGGGGGATTTAGAAAATATCCATACGTGAATGAGGCCTGATCTACACTCCAGAGGTAGGTCAGCATAAGGCAGCTTACATCAACCTAACTCTGGAAGCGTCTATGCTACAATGTCACTCCCGCCGATGTAACTCACCCATTACGCCAACTTAATAACTCCACCTCCACGAGAGGAGTCGCGTTTAGGTCGACATAGTTAGGTCGACGCAGCATCAGTGTAGACACTGCGTTACTCATGTCAACTTTAGTGGCCTCCAACAGGTTCCCGCAATGCCCCACACTGGTCACTGTTTTGAATTCTGCTGCCCAGCTGCCAGGTACGCAGGAACATGCCCCTCCCCTTTTAAAGCCCCACACATTTTTGAAATTCCATTTCCTGTTTGGTCAGCATGGAGAGTTCACATAGCAACTGCCCAGCTGACCCTGCTGGCTCCGTGCAGCAAACATGCTCCTGCCTGGGCTACATAGGAGCAGGGGGATCTCTTGGGTCTGTGGGGAGAAGAGGCTGTGCTGGCACAGCTCCAATCCAGCAGTAGAAATGGTGACATATAACAAGCAGATCGCCCGGGGGAAAAGGACTACAACAGGGACCCACAGCAGCGTTGTGTGAAAGCCAAGGAGCTGTGGCAGGCATACCAGAAGGCAAGGGAGGCAGTCACTCTGGTGCAGAGCTGCAGACATGCTGCTTCTATAAGAAGCTGCATGCCATCCTCAGCAGTGACCCCAAGCTCCCCTTGGATACTTCGAGGGAGCTGGAGACACAGGACGCGGTGGGGGGTTTCTGGGCTGGAGGCCGCGGTGGGGGGCCTCTGGGCTCAGTTGGGGGGCAGAAAGGGAGGGGCCTCTGACAGAAGGGGCAGGGCTGGGGCTAGCCTCCCCCAGCCAGCAGTTCACATGCCGCCCATGGGGATAGCTACCCATGGTGCACTGCTCTCTGCATCGACGCAAGCACTGCTAATGAGGACACACACCACTGACACAAGAAATGTGGTATGGAGAGGCAAAGGCAATTTAATTACTATTTATCGATGTAACTTAGATCGACTTAATTTTGTAGTGTAAATATGCCCTGGGAGAGAGATGTTAGAGGAAAAAAGAGAGGGAGCGAAATATTTTAAAAGGAGGAAAAATAATGGACTAACTCATGCAAGGGGAACACAGTGGTTTAGATGTTTCAAGAAAAAACAAAATCTGAAAATTATTCCAGCTCTGGAAGGGGTGGGGAGGGCGCGACACCACTCTGGACTCCTACCATCCTGCAGCTGCCACAGGTGTCAGGCAATTAACAGGTACTGTGCAGCAGCCACATCAGTACTTGCAAGCTGGAATAAAGCCCAGTGGAAGATGTGTGTGACTCCTTCTCAGACACTAGATGGAGCCAGAGGTTTGACTTTATCAAACCTCCAGCCACGTCAGGGAATGACCCTACTTCACCTGCCTGTCTCTTCCTCTCTGGATGCCATCTGTGCCAGCCTTTAAATCAAGTTTGGGAAAACGGGACCTGCTAGATCGGGGTGGGCAAACTTTTTGGCCCAAGGGCCACATCTGGGTGGAAAAATTGTATGCAAGGCCATGAATGTAGGGCTTGGGCAGGGGGTTGGGATACAGGAGGGAGTGTGGGGTGTGGGAGGGGGTCCGGTGTGCACGAAGGGGCTCAGGGCAGGGGGTTGTGGTGCAGGAGGGGGTGCGGAGTGCAGGAGGGGGCTCAGGGCCGGGTGTTAGGGGGATCAGGGCAGGGGGTTGGGGTGGGGGATCCAGCCCGGCACCGCATACCTCGAGCTGCTCCAGGATGGCAATGGCACGCAGCGGGGCTAAGGCAGGCTCCCTGTCTGCTCTGGCCCCGCGCCGCCTCCAGAAGGGGCCAGCATGTCCGGCAGTGGCTCCTGGGGGTGGGGTGGGGCAGGCAGCTCCGCCGTGTGCTGCCCTTGCCTGTGGGTCCCACCCCCAAAGCTCCCATTGGCCGCGGTTCCCTGGTCTTGACCAATGGGAGCTGTGGGGTGCCAGTGCCCACAGGCAAGAGCAGCACACGGTTCCCTCTGCCCCCCTCCCCTCCCAGGGGCTGCAGGGACATGGTGCCAGTCGCTTCCGGGAGCAGCGCGGGGCCAGGACAGGCTGTATCTGGCCTGCGGGCTGTAGATTACCCTCCCCAGTGCTAGATGGTTCAGTACTGTCCAGTGCCCCCTGCTGTTCTGGTCCTCTCCTCCTCCCCTGCCCTCTGATCTGCCATTGCAACCCGTTCCCAACCCAGCTGTCACCCCTGCTCCCCCACTGCTCCATTTGCACTATTCGACCAGGGCTGCAACTTCCCACACTCAGCCCTGTCCTGCCAAGCCTGCTGGGAACACCCATTGCACAGGCACAAACCAGCCTGGCTCCAAGCCCCCAAGCTGGACAAGAGTCACACCGCTGGAGCCTCTTCCCCCAGCCCCACGCTTCCATGGTGCATCACCAATTAGACAGCTCCTCCAGGACTTGGAGGTGGGACAAACGAAACCATTTGAATTCAGTTGGTCTCCCTGCCACACAAGATCCGTCTTTCGATCCCCTATGGCATTGGCAGAATGCGGGACTATATGACCTAATGGGGCTGCTCCGCCTCTGGATTTGATAGGGCTGCCCCACTGCTGGAGAATTCACCTTTGCCGACGTTGCTGCACAGGGGCCAGCCATGAGACGGCTACAGAAGCTCCTGTGAACACAAGCACGGAGGCCACTAGTGCTACCAGCAATACTGGACCATGGCTCTGGACCTGCCCTGCAGTGGGTGCAGGGGGAAACCAAGCGACCTCTTTCCCAATGGTGTAGCAAGGGCTGCTGGTGAGCACGCTTCCCCCACCAGCACCATGCCTGCCTCTGCCCTTTGCTGCCAGAACATCTCCCACCCGCCCAGCATGCCCCACCCAAGAACCACTGCCAGGTTCTGTGACTCTAGAGAAGTCAAAACCTACCTGAGTTTACACCCAAAGTGGGAAACAAACACTATGTCGTGTTGAGGTTTCAGCCAGGAGTGGAAGCAACTGAAATGCAGACAGAAAGACCATTCTCCTGACAGCCCAGCTGAAACCTGCAGATCTGGGAAGTGTCATGACAACATCTGTTCTCAGAGATTCCCATAGGATCAATTGCAGGTCCAAAGACTCTATTGTGGTTCATCAGTCCATCTGTTCATGGCCAACTCCCCTGCCCACACCCAGCACGTGGGTGACAAGTAGTGTATTGCAGGAGGTGATCTGGCCCCTACTGCTGGAGTTCTCACCCCACATTTGCCCGTCCCCTGCCCAACAATTAATCCTATCCCCACCATTCATTCTGCCCCCTCCAGCCTCACCTCTGCTCCTCCTGGGGGTCTCCATCCCTCTCCCAACCCTGGGAAGGCTGCAGAATGGTCCTTCCAGGCTGGGGGGGAGAGGGGTAGCTCCAGAGGCTCTTCACCTGCCCTCTGCTCCTTCCCAGACTGGATGCTGCAGGGAAGAAGCAGGGGGAAGAGCACCTTTCTGCCCCTGGTGCTCACAGGAGAGGAGGGAGCAAAGCCGCACTGAGCTGCTGGGCTCTTTGCTCCTTCCTACTCCCCTGTGAGGGCCGGGAGCAGAGGGGAGAGACAGCCGGGCGGGAGGGTCTCATGTCATCGCCAGATGAGCTCCAGCCCTCTCTGAAATCCCGACCCTCACACCACACATCCCAGGAGTTGGCACCATGGAGAAAGGGCCAGATCCTGTTCCTCACCAAGTCACAGTCCCCACTGACCCCAATAGGAATGGGACCTGGGCCTACGGCAGTCTGTGGAGATTGTAACTCAGGCCAGGTTCTCACTTGGGGCATTGGACCATCATAGTGTCCCACCTCCCGTCCTGAAGAGCCCCACACTGCCCAGCCCCACTCACCGGCTGGAGCGAGCACCAGCAGGCCCAGGATGAGCAATGGGCAGGGCATCTGTGCTGCAGGGCGAGATCCCAGAGCGTCAGTGAGGGGCGGCGGGGAGGGGAGAGCAAGGCCCCGCGTGTCCTTGGCAAAGGGAATCTTCCCTCTTGGCAGGAGCTGCCCTGAGCTGAAAAGAAAGAGACACAACAATCAGCATGAACTGCCGTGGACAGCAGGGACTCCGGGCTGGGCCCACCAGGAACAGAGCTGAAGGCAGGGCTGAGCTCAACCCCACCGGCACAAAAGAGTCGGCACATCAGCTCAGCCAGAGACCCGCCTCGGCCTGTGTCCTGCCACTACCTATCTCCCTAAGGGCTTTACACTGCTGCCCATCACTGTGGCATCTGAGCACTTTCCACATATAACAGCAATAGCAAGGTCCCTACTGCACATAATGGACTTTCTGGCACTCTTCCTTCTTGGAGGGGTCAAACTTGGCTTGCCTCCTGCATCGGCTCAGACAGGCCATCGGCCCATACAACCCAGTTGCCCACTGTCTGGCCATTGGTGCTCCTAATCCAGTATTTCCCCCCGTGGCTGCACTAGCTCAGAGTGTGATGCATCCAGCTCAGGATCCCACCTCCTGCCATGCTCAGTCCAACCACCCGAGATGGCTGTGTGGGTCAGGCACTGGCCTGGGATTCTGGAGAGCTGCACTCTATTACCTGCTGCCACCAACTCCTGGCACAGCCCTGGGAAGGTCAGTTGGTCTCTGTGTTTTGGGAATAAACAGCCCTTGTCTTGTCTGGGGCAGGGGCAGTCTCTCCTGAGGCGTGCATACGGTGCTCATCCAAAGGGCCCCAACCTCAACTGGGCTGCTACATGCTACCAGAATGCAAATAATCCTGCCCCCAGCAACGGTCACTGTTACCAGTGATGAACACACTGCCTCTCTCGCCCACATGCTTCAAAGAGGCCAGGCTTGTCCGGCTTCGTTCCTGTCATAACTATAAAGAGAAGGGTAACAGCTCTCCTGTGTACAATACTATAAAATCCCTCCTGGCCAGAGACTCCAAAATCCTTTTACCTGTAAAGGGTTAAGAAGCTCAGGTAACCTGGCTGACATCTGACCCAAAGGACCAATAAGGGGACAAGATACTTTCAAATCTTGGTGGGGGGAAGGCTTTTGTTTGTGCTCTTTGTTTGGGAAGTTGTTTGCTCTTGGGACTGAGAGGGACCAGACATCAATCCAGGTTCTCCAAATCTTTCTGAACAAGCCTCTCATATTTCAAACTTGTACGTAAACAGCCAGGCAAGGCGTGTTAGTTTATCTTTGTTTTTTCAACTTGTAAATGTACCTTTTAATAGGGTGTTTACCTCTGTTTGCTGTAACTTTGAACCTAAGGCTAGAGGGGGGTCCTCTGGGCTCTTTAAGTTTGATTACCCTGTAAAGTTATTTTCCATCCTGATTTTGCAGAGATGATTTTTACCTTTTTCTTTAATTAAAAGCCTTCTTTTTAAAAACCTGATTGATTTTTCCTTGTTTTTAGATCCAAGGGGGTTGGATCTTGATCCACCAGGAGTTGGTGGGAGGAAGGAGGGGGGATGGTTAATTTCTCCTTGTTTTAAGATCCAAGGGGTTTGGATCTGTATTCACCAGGGAATTGGTAAAGAGTCTCTCAAGGCTACCCAGGGAAGGGAATTAGCTTTGGGAGTGGTGGCAGCGGACCAGATCTAAGCTGGTAGTTAAGCTTAGAAGTTTTCATGCAGGCCCCCACATTTGTACCCTAAAGTTCAAAGTGGGGAAGCAGCCTTGACAGTTCCCATCGGAACACGTGCAATGGGACAGACTCCAGCCAGCTTCGGAGCAGCCCAAGGGCAAAAAGAGTCACAAGACCTCGGCTGGCACACGGGAACCCTCCATACGTGTTATATGCCGTGGGGGGCTTTTATAATTACGTATTGCTCTCCTCCCCCCATTCCTTCTCCTCTCTTTCAGTCTCTGGGCACCACTTTTCACAGCCTACCCCCACAGAGCCAGGACCCACGGGTGGAGTCAGAGGTCTCTCCTCCAGGAGGCAGGGCAGCCAATTCTCATGAGCCTCGTGCTGTCGGTGGCTTGCCCCAACTCCTGGAGACAAACGAATACAGCAGAATCTCCAAACTACAAAACTAATAACTACGTACTAGAAACTACGAAAAAAATAAAGGGAAAGTTAAAAAAAATGGAAAGAATTTTTTTTAAAGAGTCCATTTCTGGCAGAGACAAGCCAGAAAGCGAGACCCCCGAAGGCTCAGAGAGCCAGAAATAGGCTGTTATTGGTCAAAATTGGGATTTTTAAGCCACTCCCATTATTTTTAGGGGGCCCAACTCAAGATTTGTGAATATGTGGGGCTGGCAAGGCTGAGAAGGGCTAAGCAGGCTCAGAGCAAGGCCTGGCAGCCCTGCTCGGCTCTAGGGTGCAGGGGCTGAGATAGCATGGGAACGTGAGGGCAGCGGGAGCGATGGAGGTGGGGAGAGGTCAGGAGGGGAGCAAAAAGGATCGTTGCCCTTTAAAGGCTTTGGTAGACCCATAATGCTTTCCCCTTCTCTCTGGGCCAGACCCTGGGGGGTGCTGAAGCCAAGGGCAGGGGAGGAAGCTCATCCTCCCTCTCCCTGCCACAGGACCCAGCCCTTTAAGTGCTGCTAGGGAAGCCCACAAAGTCACTGGCAGAGTTTGCATTAAAAGGCAGGCTCTCCTCCCCTCCCCCACAAGGCAACCCCCTACCTGGACATACACAGTTCTCCAATGCTCCTCTGCAGTGGCCATGCAGGATGGACAGCAGAGCACGAAGCCATGGGGAGGACGTGAAGGGCAGAAGAAGAGACCAAACAGCCCTGAAATGAGTGTGGGGACCCCAAGACCTTTGTCCCATTGACACTGCTGGCAACTCTGGACTCTACAGCTGAAAGAGAACATGGCAAGCCCCAGATCGCGCACAGCCCTGCAGCCGGTGGGGCCCAGCAGTCCCCAGCCCTGCCCTGAAATTGAATAGCCCACTGAAATAACGTACATTGTGATAGCATCCTAGAGCTAGGGATCAAGGCCTCACTGCGCTAGGTGCTGTACAGCATATATAAACCGGCTGGTGGCTACCCTGACTGGCTTACAGTCCAAAGGATGGCAAAGGGTACAGGCTGCAGCACAGCTGCTAGGATCCACTTCTCCTGCAGAGGGCACTGGTTGCCACCCAGAGCCTCCCACATACCCTCAGTTAAATGATCCTGGGATGGTTTGAGAGGCCAGCCCAGAAATAATCATGTCACTAGCCCTCCCACAAATCCTTCATCCTGCCTGGCTTGAGCCCTAAGCTCGCCCTGCTGGGGAAGACCTGAGCACTTCATTTTCCCACCACCCTGCACCTCTGGTCCTCATTTCCTGGGTTAGACAATGCCCCCACACTTTTAGCAACACAAGCAGCCTGTCCCATTGCCTGAGCCCGATGGTCTCTCCTCCAGTCATCCTTCACTGCCGCCCTGCTGGATGCCTTGGTTTGCTTTAATTAGATCAACAGGGATTTTAGTGCCACATGGGGATTAGGGGAGATAAATTACATATAACATCAAGCAAAGCATGCTGGGTAATTTGGGGAAATTAAAATAGAACAGTGGTCCCCAAATTTTTTTGGTCGCACCTCCCCTTACCCAGTCATGCCCACCCAGGAGCCTAGGTCTGGAGCTAGGGCCGGGGGCCGAGGCCAGGAGGCGCGAGCCAGGGCTGGGGCCAAAGCTGCAGCTGGAACCATGGCTGCAAGTGGGGCCAGGACCCAGTGGCCAAAGCCGGGGCCAGAGCTGTCGCTGGGACTGGGCCGGAGCAGAGATGGGGACAGAGCAGGGCTGGGAGGCACTTCCTCCCCACCCCCCATGGGGGCTGGCCCAGGTTCCATTGTGCACAAATGTTCCTCTTCGCCCCCCTAGGGGGGCACACCCCACAGTCTGGGGACCATAGTAGTAGAACCTCAGAGTTACAAACACCAGAGTTACGAACTGAACGGTCAGACACACACCTCATTTGGAACTGGAAGTAAGCAATCAGACAGCAGCAGAGACACATACAAAAAGGTAAATACAACAGTACTGTGTTAAATAGAAACTATGAAAAAAATAAAGGGAAAGTTTTAAAAAAATGTTTAACAAAGTAAGGAAGAAGAACAGGAGTACTTGTGGCACCTTAGAGACTAACAAATTTATTAGAGCATAAGCTTTCGTGGACTACAGCCCACTTCTTCAGATGCCATCCGAAGAAGTGGGCTGTAGTCCACGAAAGCTTATGCTCTAATAAATTTGTTAGTCTCTAAGGTGCCACAAGTACTCCTGTTCTTCTTTTTGCGGATACAGACTAACACGGCTGCTACTCTGAAAAGTAAGGAAGCCGTTTCTGTGCTTGTTTCATTTAAATTAAGCTGGTTAAAAGCAGCATTTTTCTTCTGCATAGTATAAGTTTCAAAGCTTACTTCTAGGAGAATTCTGCACCACTGCGCAATGCAGAATTTTGCAGAAATTAACGTTCTGCACGCAGAATTTCCTTTCCCCCCCCCCCAGAAACGGGCTGCAGTGCTGCTGGCCGCCACTAGGGGACGCTGGACCTGGCATAGCCCAGCTCACACACAGAAGACACTGCTGGGGGGAGGGGAAAGGAGCAAGAGGGTTCCTGGCAGCCACAATTCCCAGCATGCCCTGAGGGAAGGAGAGGGCAGTACAGAGGAAACGCCATACAAGCCTAGGATCAAGCATCAGGCTGTCTCCCCCTCTGGATCCCTTTGCTTTGGGGGAACAGGGGTGGGGGCGGGAGTCTGGGCAAGGGGGGTCCCTCTTCCCCCCACGGCCCCGCCCCATGGCCAGACTGGAAGCTAGAACTGGGCTGTGGTAAGAGCCACCCAGGGAGCCCAAGCCATTGTGGGGAGCTCTGGACCCTCCACCTGCCATGGATGGGGGTTCAGGGGACCCGACAGCAGTCCCTGGCCTGTGTCCCTGCCCCCCCAGGGTGCGCCACCCAGGGCAGATGGAGGGTCCGGGGCTCCCCACAGTGGCCTGGGCTACCTGGGCAGTTCTTACCATGGCCCAGCTCCAGCTTCTGGCCTGGCCAGGAGGTGGGGCCCCAGAGGGAAAAGGAGAAGCATGGGGTGGAGCCCCATAGTAAATGGGGG